TGGGATGAAAGAAGTAAAACATGATACTGTGCTTGCTTAGAGCAGGTGTGTCTGGTGCTGTCCACAAAGCAGTGATTTTGAACTCCGGCAGCTCCAGGTTCCCTTCCATCTTTGCCACTGGGTGTTTTAAAGTTAGATGGTATACTGAGATTAATCTTCATTATCAGTAAATTTAAAGGACTGTTGTCTACATTGTGTGTTGTGCTATGAAATGAGAAGATATAAATCAGAAAATGTATTCTATTATTGAGTTTTACATTTTAATCCAGCAAATATTTCAGTCAGCTACCACCAAAAGCAGATCTTGGGGTAGGGGAGTGCATCAATGAATGCCACAGAAAGATTCCCCAGTAATCAAAATATAAGCTTAAATAAGTCATCTCATTATAAGGTGGTAGTAGTATGCTGGAGGTAATATAGCAGCAGCGGCAGCATTAGCAGCATCTGTATCATCTGCAGCCTGCATTTGGGGAATGATTTGGGGATGAAACTGAGGCCTATTTCCTATACAAGGATCATGTGTCCTTGTGGATTCTCCATTGGGTAAATGGCCTATTGATGTAGCAGAGGCACTTTCAGTGTTTTCCTGTCTTCTTTCCCAGGATCATGTGAGGTTTGTTGTTGTTGTTTGTTGTTTTGTTTTGTATAGGGGATTGAACCCAGGGGCATTTAACCATTGAGTCACATCACTAGCCTTCTCTATATCTTCTTTAGAGACAAGTTCTCCCTAAATTGCTTCATGTCTCACTAAGTTGCTCAGATTGGCTTTGAAGCCACAATCCTCCCTCTTCAGCATCCCAAACCTTTGGGATTACAAATGTGTGCCACTACCTATGGCTACTTTAAAAAAAATACTACTCATAAATTTGCTTCAAATATGGTATTAATCATGGCTGAAACTTTTTTCAGTTAAATTAATATTCATTGAGCTTTCTATACACAGAGCCCTGGCCTAGATACTGTGGAAATGTAAATATCAATGAAAACCACACTTTGTCTTTCTAAGGGCCTTATTTTATGAGAGCAAACACATTTCCAATCATTACTACATTTAAATTTAAAACACAATACATTTGAAATTGATCCTGTAAGGTAATATTATACAGCTTTAAAGCAGGACTGGCAACCATATCTATTTGCAGGCAGGGAACCATCCCCAAGAAAGCTTGTTAAGTGAAAAAGAGAATTCAAACTATGTTTCATGCTTTTGCTCATATAGTGAAGAAAGAATTGTGAACATAGATATACACTTTTATTAACTTGTGGAAGGACTAGCTTAAATCTTTCAAACATTATTAGTTATGGAAGAGGAGAGAAAAAGTGAGAATGTATAAAAAGATAGGATTCTATTAACATATTTTATTCTTAAATGTAACTTTGGAACAGTGTACACATTTCACAAACTGCAAAACAAAATGAGATTTAAACAGAAATTTCTTAAAAATAGAAATAAAAACCTAACACAAGTTGTATTTAAATAAAAAATGACTTGATGGCATCATGACAAAGTTACTGTCTTAGTTGCTTTTATGAAGCAGTAATATAAACACACATTTCTAGGAAGATGTATTTTAGGAACAGAGACCTGATCTAAAGGATATTATGTAATTTGATCTTCAGATGTCACAATTCTGGTGGTAATGTTGGTACTGGTATTTCTTTTGTGATTTGATTATAATTGGCTTATTCTGTATGTTTTTCCCCTTAACAACTTTATGGAGGTATAATTTGTGTATAATAAATTGCATACATGAAAGTGTTGTGTTTGATAGATATACACCTATAACACTACCACCACAATCAAGGAAATTAGCGCATCTGTTATCCCAAATGCATTTTCCTAACCTATTTCAATCTTTCACTCACACCTTTCCATGCTGCCTCTTCATCCCCAAACACTGATCTGTTTTTCATCACTACAGATTAGTTTGCATTTTGTATAATTTCTATAAATAGAATTATATTATAGGGCTGGGGATGTGGCTCAAGTGGTAGCGTGCTCGCCTGGCATGCACGGGGCACTGGGTTCGATCCTCAGTACCACATAAAAATAAAATAAAGATGTTGTGTCCACCAAAAACTAAAAAATAAATATTAAAAACTTCTCTCTCTTTAAAAACAAATAATTATATTATATATTGTACATTTTCAAGGGGTGAAGGGATGTCCAGCCTTCTTCATTCAGCATAATTACTGCCAAATTTGAAAATGTTTCTGTGTATATTAAAGTTTCATTCACCGCTGAGTAATGTTGCATTGCATACATTTTCCACATTTATTCATCCATTCATTTGTTGATGAACATTGGAGTTGATTCCCATGTTTTACTATTTAAAATAAAACTATTGTTTAAGTTCATGTACAAGTCATTTCTTATTTTTTTATTCATCCACTCACTGCATTTCTGGGGATTGAACTCAGGGATGCTCTACTACTGCACTACATCCCCAGCACCCTCACCTTTTAATTTTTTTTTTTTTTTAACTTAGAGACAGGACCTATCTAAGTTGCTGAGGCTGGCCTCAAACCTGTGATACACCTGCCTCAGCCTCCAAAATTGCCAGGCATGAGGCATCATATCGTGCATTTGTTTATTTTAGGTATGATTATATTTGTTCCAGATGATTGTAATAAGCATTAAGCAAAATAAAAGTATATGGAAAATTTGTTGCTTGGTCCCTAAATTTCCCTAAAGTATCACAGGTGACCTATTAAAGAAGCTTGAAAGCTCATGTAACAGTAAGAAAAGGTTCACTTCAGAGTCCATTGGCAGAAAGTCTGAGTTGAAATGGGTTGGGCAAAAGCAGCAGTTTATTCATGTCTTACAAACATGGTCTTACGAACATCATACAGAGCTGGCACAAAAGAACAGACACCATCTTGTGAACCATGCTTCCTTCCAAATCACTTCTATTGAGCTACAACATCAGAACAAGTCAGTTACTGAGTTACACAGTTCTTCAAACATGGATACCTCCCCATGAGGGTGGTTAGATTGGCTAATCAGACAAATGATTAATTTACATGTTTAATACAGTGCCGGATTTGTAACAGAATTCAAGATATTCACATTGATATTGTAATACATTATAAAACAGTACAATTTTCAAAAATGATGAGATCACATATCTCCCTGCCTGTTTGGATTCCTTTCTTGCTTTTCGTCTTTCTTTTCTTACCCGTTGTAAATAGTTTCACTCAACTTTTCACACTCTAAAACACTTTAAATTTTAAAAACTAAAAACTATTTACAAATCATCCATTGTAATTTCAATTGTTCATTCATTGTTGTTCCACTTAAAAAAAAAAGAAAAAGAAAAAAGCCCTCTTCCAATAATCATACTGAAGGCTGGTATTACCATTGGCTGCTGTGTAGGATACTGGAAATTGACTCCTCACAACTTTTCAGAGCTCCAAAATACCTCATATTCCATGGCCCATGATACCGAACATACATACATTAAAAAGGCCATTTGGCTTCCCCAAGCTCCACACTGTCTGAAGTTCATGTTGCTTTCACAGAAAAGCTGAGGAGACCAAGATGCTGTGGAATGACTTCATATGGAATGAAGACCATGGCTGGGGAATGTTCATTTTTAGTCTCAAAGTCATCTTAAAGCACAAAAAGTGGTTGATTTTCGATCTTTGCACGTACAGAATGTAATACATTTTCTTTACATTAGGCATTGTCATAAAAAGCATGTAGAAGTTGTTAGGAAAATGCATGTTCATAGAATTTACAAACACTGGAATATCAAACACATTCTCAAAAACTGTTAAAGTACTGACACAAAACCTGACTCCAAGTGTAAATTTTCCAGTAGACTTTATTTCTAACTTGCATATTTAATAATTCAGCCGCACCCGAGTTTCACTCATACGTCTATAAAAACTCAAATATTGTGACATTACCCTCCAGTGAATTCTTTCCAGATAATCGCAGGGCTCTGCTTTCCTCTAACAGGTTTTGAGTGCATTTCAGAACCCTGGCACTGGAAAATGGTACAAGACACAAGTCTCTAAACTGCTTTACAGACAACAGCTCAAGACCTAGGAGCCTAGAAAACATAGTGAAAAGCACACTTTGTTTTGCTAATTTGACAGCCTAAGTATACTTTGTGAACATGTAAATTATGTCAGGCTTACTCTATATTTTATTCAACTTGTTACTTGATTTGTTAGTTTCAATCTGGCAATGTATAAAACTTCACAGTCCGTTTTTCTTCCTTCTTTCCTTCCACCCAATCCTCACCGTTCCTTCTTTTCTCCCCTTTGTTTCCTTCCCTTCATTTCCTTCCCTTTTCAAATAGCTTAATCCTTTCTGGGGGAGAATGAATTAAGCCAACACTCAGGGGACCATGCCCACTTGGGTACAAAGGATGGCCTTGAGAGTACATTTGCATACTGTACATATCTCCTACAAGAAAACCATGTTTCTAGTTGAATCTCTACCTGAATCTTATCTCTTTATCCACTAGCTAATTTGACGATTTCACAAAGGTAAACAGGGGTTTCTTAGGTCACACTGAGGCTTGTGACAGGCAGTGAATAATTCAAGGCTGTGGTTCTTATGTGAGATTCTATTTTACATTTTGACTCACATGTAACCTTAAAGAAGCGAAAAAAAAATCATATTTCAGCCACAGTGTTCTCAACTCAGCCCTTTGATAAAATAACTTCTCAGGTTGTTCATTGTCCTTTGGAAATGAACCTGTTATTTCTCTTAAGATAAAATTGTATCAAATACTTACAAACCAAAGAGAAATGACCAGATACTTTGATATGCAGGACAACCATTTGCGTTTGACATAATTAATAGAAACTAGAAAACATGTCTTTAATATCTTTGGATTTAAATAAAATTTCATTTCCCCAACTTGAAGAAACGGATGAATTTTCATAAGCGAAGGCATGATTTTCAGTTTTAAAACTTAAAAAATCACCTGGACTTTCAGTGACATTGTAATGAATCATCACCCTCTAGATCCAAACCATGACTCGGATTCTAGTGCAGTGTTCACAACAGGATTGACCATCCCTATTTATGTCACTGACAACCTGCAGGGGAAATCAAATATCTTATGAAAATTTATCCAACTTTGCTACTAAAGGGGGAAATTATCATGATGCACATTTACAGTTACTTTCTGGTCTACTAATTCAATCCATTTCTTACCAACAAAAGGTGGCTTGTTGTGTCACAAACTTACAATCACATATAAGAAAAAAAAAATTTCTCCTTGCCTAGTAAAAACCCTTAAGTTCCAACTCATGGCTAGGACGCTAACCATCACAGAGCATGTGCCACTTGGCAATTTGTCTCCTGGGGAAGTCACAGATCTCCTTCCAGTGCTCCCCACCGGTTCCTTCAGCCGTTGCACCTAGGACCAACCGCCCAATCACCTCATTTCGGGACCCCCTTTCAGAATCCAAAACCAGAAATTCAACACTTATTTCTTCAAGACCCTCACAAGGAATATCAAAGACAAACAGTTCATTGAATACTGCGTTGGGGGTGCATTTCTTCACATGAGTCTTCTTTTTGGAGATTCTCTTTTTGGCATGGTACAGGTTCACTTTGACATAGGGATCTGCAAAGGTACACAACAGGTATTACAGAGCAAAGCTCAGATGCAGAACTGACTGCAAAGTAATGGAGCTTTCCGAGATCCCAGCACACCAAGGTCTTTACAATGAAATGAGTAAGAACAAAGAAAGTGTGAATGAAGTGTGACTTTACTCTTATTAACAAAACTGAAAATGAAAAAGCAATTCTAGACTGGAGATTAGAAAAGGAATTGCAATGGCAGAAAAAAAAAGGATAACATAAGAGGGCAGAAAGAAGAATGTTCTATTAGGGACATTCTGATTGCTAATAACTCATTCTGGAAAATGAGATAGAAGGGAAAAAAATATTACACAACATCCAACTTTAGAAACCTGTATGATTTGGGACATCTACATCTGAATTTGGGCTAACTTTCTGTTGAATGGGTATTTGAAATGAGGAATATTACTGGCTTTAACTTTTCTGTGGTTCTTTAATCACTTGCTGTATTTTCTTTCTGTTGCCCCTTAGTGACTTTTGCCCTGCTATCCTTAGTGTGTGAATTTTAGGATCATGTTACTTGACCACATATTTAATCATCTTTAACATTTTTATTGTTGCTCCTGATTTAACTTTAGCTCCCTGACTGAAATTTTAGGACCACATTTTAACTTACAGCATCAAATAATAACAACAGCAACAAGGATAATATTAAAATTAGATGATTCTTTTTTATTTACTTATTTTTGGGTGAAACCAAGGATACGGTGACTCAACCACCGAGCCACATCCCCAGCCCTATTTTGTATTTAGAGACAAGGTCTCACTGAGTTGCTTAGTGCCTCACTATTCCTGAGGCTACTTTGAACTCATAATCTTCCTGCCACAGCATTTTGAGCCACTAGGATTACAGGCTTGTGCCACCATGGCTGTCTAGATGTTTCTTAGTAGACTATACGTTTCTGTGTTTTACGATGCTTCCCAAGGTATTATTATCTCCAGTTTTTACAAGGTTTAAGAAATATGTTCAAGGATACTAGCTTAAGAAATTGAAGGATCAATATTTGAATTTAGATTTTTTTAATCCATAGTTCATGTTCTTTTTCATCCTGCTATGCAAAAGAGTTTGGGGTTTTGTTTTGTTTTGTGAAATTAGTAATAAGACTAAAAGCTAATTCTTAAAACATTTAAAAAGTAATCAAATAATAAAAGTATAGGTTAAATGGGCTTATTAAAAATACTGAAATTAAAAACACTTCTCCTGAACCCTAATAATATTTCTAATTGTGTGCTTTTGGTAATGGTCCCTCACTGTTCCACTTATCAGTGGTTTTTTATTTCAACACCATTCAACTAGGTATTTAGCAGGTACTGGCCTGGTGTTAGTTCTATGTATGTTTCTCCTTATTGCTGGTAGCATTAGGTCACAGTATTTCAAAAAATGAGAAAAAGTGAAACAATCCTATAACTTATGATTATGAATAAAAGTAAATCAAAATCAGAGGCTAGAGTTAGTTGGTAGCTATTTTATTTAATGTATACCCACTTTTAGACTGAACCTAAATATTTCAGACACATTCTTACCTGAAAGTCCAGAAACGTCAGATTTAGGAAGGTGTCGAGCTTTTAAAACAACCACAGTGAGAGTATTTGTAGTAGACTGATAGCAGAGGGAGATCAGTAGCTCACCCCGTCCTGAAGACTTCTGAACAAAGAGAAGGGCAGCATAAATATTTTAACATAATTTTCTTAGTTTTAATGTTTGTTTTTTTAATCAAAATTTTATGGCAATATAATAGCATGATTATTTAAATGTAATGTTGATATTTATTTTTATTATCATGTGCTAAGGAATCTAGGAGTAACTAAAAACTTTTGTGCAGTGCCACCATGGCCTAAAAACCATTGCTTGCCATCTTGTGGTCTTTTTAGGTACTACAGCAAGCTAACATAGAATTGGCCACGCCCATTTCTTTACAAATGTTTTAAAGGATATTTACATTATACTTAACAGAAAGATATGTATTTTTTGTTTTTGTTTTATTGATACCTACACTGTTTTAAGTTATTAAAGTTACTATGATTACCTAATCTTTTGAATGGGTGTATGTAGGATCTGATGGCACAAGTTTGATTTGATTTCAAATTCATTAGCACTGATATTGTCAGAATTTGAATTCAGATCAAGTGAGCATTATTCTGACTCCCACCATTCTCCTGTCTCAGAGAGGTGATGGAGTTAAAAGTCTTTTCCTCTTCCTTACCTTTAACTCTCTATTTAATCTAAGAAATAAATTGAATTTAAGTCTTGAAGTGACTCAGGATTTTTAATACAATGTTTTTGGACAGTGCCATAGAGTCCTTCTTTGTACACTTCTTAGATTTAATTTGTACTTAAAGAAATAATGTAATAGGACCAAGAACTCAAACTCCAAATTTTAACTGAAAGTAGCAAAATGCTGATTTGGGACTTAGTTACAGCCAAATGATGGCTGGGGCAGCATTTTAAAACAGCAATGTATTTAAACAAAGGCTGACATGGGGCAGCTGTATGAATAACACTCTAAGAGAAATGGAGACAGATTGTTAACTCCACTGTGCCAATGAACAGGTGGCTGACTCAAATAAATTTATATAATCTCTGAACCTTTATTTACATTAATTTCAACAAATAAAAGGAGGTGGAGTTGGTCAGAATAAATTCTGAAGTTGTTTGGGCACTAAAATACTAATTTTTTTTAAAGAATTGAAATTAGTTAAATTAGTACATTTACTAAATTTTTGAAATCCTAACATCATAAACATGTTATCCTGAAATACCACTATTAGTATCAGTTGATTTCTGTATTTAAAATAGAAATAAGATAAATTGTGTTTAACTGAAGTATATCTTTTCCTAATCCCAGAACTCCCAAAGTAGTATAACTACAGAGACAGAGTAACTCATTTCCTGTTATACTACATAGAGATGGGCATTTATTATTCAGTGTGATGTGATGTCTCCTCCTTGAAAAGCAATTCCATAAAAAGTCAATATGAATTCCAAATCCTTAGATAGAATTGATTTGATTTTCAATTTCAATTTCAGTTTCAAATTCAATTATGCTGACCTTGAAACAACTTTGTTAACTTAGTTAGGATTAAGAAGTAGCCATATGAGTTTCAAAGTAACAATATTTGGCACAGTACTTACAGTAGAAATCAACAAAAATGTATATAGATGATATTTAAGTACTCATAAAGGAAAACTATTTATTTATACCATTAAACTATTTTGAATATTTCAGATGTGGGTTAAATTTACTTGCATTTTCTCTGTTCTCTTGCTATCTATTTGACTATAATGAACAATAATTAAACATGGTAAGGATGATATGTATAAACATCATTTTAGTGAAGATTCCTTAAAAACCTACATTAAAGGTTGTTTATGAATAAGGACTCAAATCATATTACCCTAACATTTCTTTTGATGATCTCTCTGTTCATTAACATTTTCCCATCAGATAATTCAATTCCTGAGAGAGGAATAAGGACTTCTCCAATGATATCATCTCTTGAAAACCTGTCAAAACTCAAGATTGTGAAGTGCAAGGCCAGCTCTTGGATTTGGGTGTAGGGGATGCCATAGAATGTGAAGGTCTCATCAAAAGCTGGATCCAAGGTCTTCCTCAGCACTCTGGTTTTCACTTTATGCTTCTTCTCGGGGAGGATGGTCATTTTGATGTACGGGTCAGAGGTCATAGACTGCTCATCCATGGCTGGCAAGCCCCGGGCCTCCTTGATGTTCACCACGAATGCCTTCTTCTCAAAGTTGTACTCTAGGGAGAAGAAGAGGGTTCCCAGCTTTTCTTGCTTCTCTTCTGAAGTGAGGGATGTGCTGGATTTTAAGCTATCAGGGGAAACTGCCTCTTTTTCTCCTTCTAATAAGAGCTTCGGGGTCACATTCTCTGGATCAGAAGGGCTGCCCACTTTGAGGTTTGTTTTGGGGAAATTGCCATTAAGATCTCTCTTCTCAAGATCAAGATGCAATGAATTCTTTGGCACAGCTGGCTTATTCTTTACATCATTCTTGTCATCTCCTCCAAACTTCTTTTTGCTATTTAGGTTTTCAGGATAAATATCGACTCCTTTAAGCACATGAACAAACTTGTATGGAGGAGTCTTGTTAGACTTGGATGATTTTCTCTGACAGCAGATCCATGCAAAGAGAGAGACAGTGAAGACGAGTCCGAATGCACTGAAGATCCCCACCACTGTGGGGATTTCATCTGAAAAATCAAGTGACCAATAACATATATTAAAGGAGCAGAATGGAGATATAAGCCTATTGGGAAAGCATAGCAGAGCTGGCGATTGCTGCAGGTTGGACAGATTGAATTCCTTTCCAGCTGTTCTGGGTATAAGTTATACCCAGTTCACATAAACTTCAGATATAAACACATTCCCTGTGTGACACACAGGGAAAAAACAGTGTGCTAAAAACTCCTTCGCTTCAGTAGCTTTTAAAATGAGAAGATGAATCTGAGCCTGGGCCAGATATGGGGGCTCTGTGCTTAATAACATTGCCTTATCTTTGTTTTCTCAGATAATATGAGTCAACTCCACCATGATGGGTCAGTACTGATTCCATTATCTTTTCATTGACATTTTGAAACTTTCCAAAAGCATCAATTCTTATTGACTATGGAACACTAGATGGACATTCTTCAAATGCTAAGAAATTTTGTATTTTATTTTATACTTCTTTTTCCAGAATTCAAGTAGAAAGTATTAGGGTCTCAGTGGTTCACACAATTTTTTAAAATGGTGAAATATTATCTGCCATTTCCACAAACTCACTAAAAATTTTCACCTTAATTATGGAACAGTAATCAAAAGGATGATCATTTATTAATGGGAAAAAAAGAACAAAAAAAGAAAAGGAATAAGATCTTATTTTATAAAATCTGTAATGCTGCAACCCACTTGTATGCAAACACTAAATTATCCAAAGTACAAATTAATTTAAATAGGATTAAAACAGAAGTTTTAGATGAATCATCTTTCCTTAACATGTAATGAAAAGAGTGAGTATTGATAGAGTTCAATTTTATTCATAAAAAATATTTTTCCTATGATATTTTCACATGAAAGTGGTAATCAAATTGAAATTGACATTATTTCCTTGAATGAGGGCACATTAAATCACTGTCCTTAGGTGATATGGATTGTGCATGAAGCTTATCATATTTCATATGTAAGCATATTTCTCAAATCATTAGGAATGTTGTTTAAGTAAAAGCAGTACTGCTACATCTGGACAGAGTATACTAATTGAGTCAATGTTTCATACAATCAAAGTGAATATAACTAATGTAGCATATTATACATTCACTTTACTTCTAGTCCATATTTTACTTCAAATAGGGAATGATGGATTGAAAAGTCTCAGTCAGGAATGGGTTAAGACTTGTTTAATCCCAAGAAGACCAATCTTTTGTTATTCACCTTCCCCACCCCCAAAAATATTCTGCCTACCTACTTTATAATTGCAAAACTAAACTCAAAGAATAAAAGATTGGGGAAGATGAGATAAATAAGTATCTAAAATTTAAAAAGCAAATAAAACAGGAGCAATAGAAATTTCTGTATCTTGATTGTGTTAAGAAATTGAATTATGTAAAGCTCGAATAAATCTCTGGATTCACCAAATAAGAGAAGAAGGAAGAAAAAAAAACAGAAAGCTGGTAAGAAAGAGGCAAGAGCTAAAGATAATCAGCTTAACTTAGTATCCGCTTTTGAGTTTTCCCTTCTATTCAAGTCTTTATGGGAAAAAAAAAAAAAAAAAACAAAGCCCCCCACTCTTGGACATTAATACTCTTAAGACCAGGGAGTAAAAGCAAAGTCATGAACTGAGGCAATTCTTCAGCCAATGTCAGGTGAACAATAAAAGCAACTGAAAATGATTCTAAGTAGACTGATAGCCCATGCTAGGACATGTTTCACTTCCACAGTCCCTGAAAATGCCTCAAAATTAGAAATTTTCTGATTTTTCAGGTCAAAACTTGTGTATACATATCACAATATATACACAAAACACACACACACTCCTCAATCAGTTAAATGAAAGACTGAAATAATCATTTATGTACTTCAAAAATTGTCTATTTAATACACCAAATGAAAAATATTCAAGATATCATGGACTCAGTGCATTCTCTTTTGATAATATCTTAAGCTTTTGAGAGCAAAGATTGTAATCATTTCACTCAGTTTAATAACAATCACCACTTATATATAGATATCACTCACTCAAACTTCTACAAAATTCCCTGATTGAAAACTAAAAAAGAAGAAAGAAAGAAAGAAAAGAAAAGAAAAGAAAAAACTTGTAAAGTAAGTAAAATTCTGATCTCTTGCTTTTGGAATATAATTAGATATAAAACACTATGTGTTTATTCTAAGAAATAGATATAATTAAATTGACTGAAACAGAGAAGATCTATGGGGCCAAAAATTTGGTACAGGAAAAAAAGAAAATTAAAATCTCAAACAAGAGCCCCAATTCAAGTTTCGAGCAGATTTTAGCTAAGTGTGCAACTGGAAACACTTCCCACATCTCTCTGGCTTTAGTTATCTCGCCAGTAAAATGGAACAGGCTGAGCCAGTTGGTTTTGAAAGTCCCTGTAATCCTACTGTCATAGGATTCTGTCTTGCACTAATAACATATTCCAAGGATAGAAGAACAGATAGCAGAGAAAATTAGGGAACATTCTGTAATAAAACGTACATGTCAGGCCCTCAATCTGCAAGTTGTTTTATACCAGATCAAACTCTTATGTAACCACAGGCATATTTGGCTCCTCCTAATAAAATACAGATTTGCCTGCAAATAAAAGTCGCCTACAAGATAAATGAAAAGAGCATACGAACAACAGACTCCTTTTTTTTTTCCTTCCCACCAATGCATGCTGCAGTTTTTAGAGCTACCTGAACATTCAGGAACTTCTGGAAGGTAGAATCACCCTAACTGAAGTCAATTTTAAGGAGACAGATATCAAAAAAAGGGGGGAGAAATCATAGAAATAAGCCACGGTTAACCGTTTGCTGACTTCATTTTCCTTTCCAATTCACTACCTAAAAATCTCCATTCAACATCCATTGGCGGGTAGGAGACATTGCCCACCCCGAGTATTCAAGGAATAAGTTGAGTAACTTGCTTACCAAATTCTTCCCGGCTGGTAGCGATCGGAGCCATTTTTTTTGCTGCGTGCTCTGTCCGAGGTGCTGAACGGAAAACTCCCTGGCTAGATGGACTTGCCTGGATCTGAAGAGGCGGCTTTCCCGAGTGCTGAGAACAGCGGCGCAGAGCCCAGGGGACCCGCGCCTGGAGCAGGGAGGAGGCGAAGAGGGAGGTCCACTCGCCCTCGCACAATGATTTGCCACCCCTGTTCCTGTTTTGGCTCTTCTGAAAAGCTCGTCTCTGAGACTCCAGACGTGGCTGAAACCCGAATTGACGCAATCCTGACGCTACAGGGCTGAAATCAGCACCTGCCCCCCATCCCCTCCTCCCTTCCAGCCTCTCCTCCTCGCCCTCCTTCTTGCTTCCTCCCTCCTCTCTGGAGGATTCAGCGCACACTCATCAATTATTTTAACTGTTGGACGACTAGATATTAGCTTTGCTATTCTGCGGGGGCTCACAGGCAACACTGAGATACGTCCTGAAACTGATTCTTGACAGTTCCGAATATAAAGATCTTCTGATCACTTAGACGAATAGAAATGTGTCTCTGAGTTATCAGAATAATCTGATGCACAGAGGCAATTAAATGAAAGAGTAAGAAGAGAGAACATTCTGCATCAAACCACCCATCGTAAAATATAAGAATATATTTTCTTGCTTCCCAAATTTCTCTGACACACATACATGATACTCTCTACAGTTGGGGTAAAATTCACAACAAATTGATCCATTTGAAATAAAATAACTGTTTTCCCACTACCATTTCTTATATTCTAATGGAATTATTAGTCTAAACATTTTGCTGATGCTGTTAGTCCTTCTGATCTTCCCTTTACATTTGACCAGCTAAAATACTTAGGAACAGATGGGCATAATCCATTCTGTATTCAGACTCACTCTCAGATATGACTTTTGCATATAATAAGACTGCTTCTGAAATGACATTTATGGTTAAAAGCCCTGACTTCTAAAAGGTCTGTGCAAAATAATTACAAAAATTTAACAAAAATCTGAAATAATATTTATTATTGTTATTTTCACAGGAAATGAGATTTTTTTCTGAACTGATGATATTCTTGGGAAGAAAGAATTAGAAAACAATATGGTGTGACATAGTGATTAATTTGTATCTGAAAAATGTGCCTTTTAAAAACTAAAGTTTAGCAATTTTCTAAAGGAGCTAACTTGGGCTATGAGTCCAACTGTCACTTATTTTCTTACAAAGAATTACTTTGCTCTGGAACTCAGTGAACAAATGACATTCAGTGTGTGCTGGGATGAGAAAGGAGGGGATGCCGGGGAAGTCTCAGAAAGCTACTGTACAAATGACAGTTTCCTGCACATTGGCAAGCAGCGGCCCTGAGCGTCAGCACTGTGTCTGGGGAGATATTGGCTTCAGTCCTTTGCATCATGGAAAATTTTATAAACCAAAGTCTCTTTTCTTTCCCTTTCTAACTTGCTCCCACACACTTGGCATTTTAGCATTCTTCTAACAGATTTTTTTTAAAAACCTTACATCTTCATGCAATGAAAACACACACTAATTTGCTGTATTTAATTTTTACTTCAGCAGGGCTTGTGATAGTCCTTATCATTCCATTTCATTCAGATTACCTATTTTCTCAGTTATGCATCAACCTGGAAGAATGTTCCCTGGGAATAAACATCCATTAGATGAAAGAGAGGTTGGCATTTATTTGTGATATGCATCACAGGCAAACCAAATATCTAGTGTGAGCTTTATTAAAGTGTATGTTTTCTAGCTAAGTTATTGCTAACATATGGTTCAGCTCATTTGTTATAAACATAAGTATATTATGTGTATGTTATATATAAATTAGTATGTCATTGATTATACCTTCAGATGGTTAAATGCTGTAGAAAACCTGTTTAGATTGTTTAAACTATTTCTTCAGAACCTAAACCTATCTTATGCTGTTTCATTTCTGAGGACACATTGTGATAACATTACCTCTTGCCCAGAGCCAATGCTCTTGTAGTAACTATTTCATTGCTTGCTTTATAAGCAAACTGAAAATAAATGTTATTAATTAAAGTATCTGAAATTTTCTCATTTTCTTTTGATGATGAGCACATTAGTTGTATCCTATTTCTTTAGACAAGCTTCTAGCAGTACCAGGTGAGGAGTGTGCCCCTCAGAGAGAAAAACCTGAAAGTTTCTTATGATTGAGAATCATACCCTACCACATTATGGCATTGTTCTTTTTCCATCTAGCAAACCCATAATCAATTCACTGACGTGTTCAATCTGACTGGAAGCAGACTTGGGAGGAGGGGTTGTTGCTAGGTAACTGCTTTTTCACCACCCAAAACACACAGCCTCACACAAGTTCCTGCCCTGGGAACCACAGACTGCTCTGTAAAGGCGGCAGTGTTTACTTCAGGATGATTCTTTCATTGCTAAAGTGGTTCCATTTTTACCTACTTTTTCCCCTAATTGCAAATATATGCATAAATTTTGAGAAACAATTCACAAAACTCTAGAATTCAATTTAATTTTAAGAAATACAGTTGAATTTAAAGACTATTGATAACTCATCACATACATTTTTATTTTATTCATTTAGTTCATGTTGTTTGATTTAGTATGTAGATTGATTCATAAAGTTTATCTTATATAGTTCATTAATTTTATAGCTTAGCTATATTTTCAGCATTAGCTTCTTAAAAACATTATTTGGTGTTTGCATTTAGAACTTTCCATTAAACAAAAGAATTTTCAAAAGGTTTTGAAAATGTTTCAGAGATCTTCAGTGATCTTTAATAATGCTCAGAGATAAGAACTACAAAAGCATTTTACTGGCATGTGGGTAGAGTAGATAGAAGTATCTGATAATGGAAAATGGATAATTGTTTCAATGTTCCATATCATCCTATTGAGAACATTGACTCCAATGCTGGTGGATTAGATTTATATTACAAGCATATTCAAGTTGAAATCCTGTATGACACATGCTTTTCCAGATGGCATTACAGAAATTCCTTTACTATCCACCATTTCTACATTTGTTTTCTTCAACATATTCAGCATGTGTTATGTGCTTTTAAGGCATGCTGAATGAAACCTTTACTTTCCTGTCATCTTTCTTTCAATGCATACTTATCAAATGTGTACTTCTTCCAAATTTTTGCTAAGGGATGGAAGAGAGGAATTTATATTGATCAAAATTATATAAATGATCCTTCTTGGCACTTCATGACCCGAGGAAAAATTGACAGTTTTCTTCCAGATTCAGAAAAAAGAAAAAAAAAAAAAAAAAGGTAGATAACAATTGCAACTATGTCTTTGGCGTGGTATTTTTCTAGAAAGACTGGTCAATGCTAGTTGACAACCACCAGGTTTATAAAGTTCAATCTGTTCATATTGACCCTGTCTTCATGACTGTGGACACATAATGTTCTTGTGCACAACTTGCATTCTTCCATTGCATTTATCTATTACAACTTCTCTTTCCTTTAAGAATCAGTTGAGGGCTGGAGATGTGGCTCAAGTGGTAATGCGCTTGCCTGGCCTGTGCGGGGCGCTGGGTTCGATTCTCAGCACCACATAAAAATAAAATAAAAGATGTTGTGTCCACCAAAAACTGAAAAATAAATGTTAAAAATCTCTCTCTCTCTCTCTCTCTCTCTCTCTCTCTCTCTCTCTCTCCTCTCTTTCTCTCTCTCTCCTCTCTTTCTCTTAAAAAAAAAGAATCAGTTGAAGTTTCATTTATGCTGTGGAAGTTTCTGACTTATACAAACACATTTCTTCTGATTGAAATTCTTATAGCAATATCTCTACTAAAATCTTTTACCAGCTTGACACATTTTTTATCTTTATACCCACAATTACCCCAAAAAGATAAGCCCAAACCATCACTAATATGAAACCCTCAATATTCCACAGGGCTCTGGCCCATTTTGCAGATGGAGCCTTTAAGTCAACTTTTCTAATTCTTAAATATTGGCATCTCAGCAACAAACTAGTCTAGGACCATTCTATGAGACTACCCTCTTTCAGTTTACCCCAAAAATGTTTCTTGCTATGCCTCATAACACACTTGCATCCCTCATTCAATATGTTCCTAAATGATACTTCTATTTATCTTCCATAAACAATAAAATAAAGATATATTTTATGTATGATGGCAAGTGGAGAAATAGTAAAAATATATAAAATTTTCCATCTTAGGTACTGGAGATTGAACAAATATTTTATTGTTTGTTAATATTTATTTTCAAAATGTGAATATTTGTAATATTAACAAGGATGACAGTACAATAAATCACAGGATAATATATATCATAAAATAAAATTGCAATAACAAAACAGGAATAAAGTTAAAATTATGATAAATGGAATACAGAAAAAATACTCAAACAGATAAAGTAACTAAAAATTTAATCATCTAAGGTACCATAAAAATTTCTTAAACTCCAAAGTAATGAGTTATATATTGGGTTGAAAAATAGTTTAAATATGTGTTTACTCACAGCAAAAGTGCATAAATGAAAATGACTCAAAATTTAAAGGTTCCTAAAAAATAGAAATGAAAAAAATTGAAGTTAGAAAGTAAAGAAGAAAATATCAAAAGGAATTAAATATGTAGTTTTGTATTGTAAATGTATGCACTAAAAATAAAATAGCCAACAGTTTTTAAGACTTATGTGTCAAATAACTTAAAATCAAATTCATAAAATAAAACTGTAATAAGTAATTAAGAGAAATTCTAAAAATATATAATACCTGAATAGAGATATTATTCTTCTAGCCACTTGAAGATCACCTTAATTTCAGCTTTGGACCATTTATCTGGAGTGAAGCAGTTACACTGAATTTTTTTTTTCTTTTCTTCTTCCAAACTGTAAAAATTGAATACTTTTCTAAGCATAAAAACTTTTAGAGAATAGAGAAAAATTCCTCAAATATTTTAAGTAGGAATACTATAAACTTTAAGAAAAAGTGAGAAGATATAATATTACAATATGAGATATATAATTGTATACTAAATGATATGAACCTTATATCAAGAAATCATGATTTTCAAAGATTTCAAAGATAGTATATTAAAAAAAAACATTGAAAGAAGTAAATAAATAAGTATATATGTGTGTCCAGTAAATCAGCAATTCCCATGTCATTACATATACAAAACAGAGAAGTTCGTATATGAGACAGGAGGTAGCACATAGGATATTATACACAGCAAAATTGTTGTGG